TTACAGTGGCTGGTCTAGTATTACAGTGTCTGGTCCAGTATTACATTGGCTGGTCTAGTATTGCAGTGTCTGGTCCAGTATTACAATGGCTGGTCTAGTATTACAATGTCTGGTTTAGTATTACAGTGGGTGGTCCTGTATTGCAGTGTCTGGTCCAGTATTACAGTGTCTGGTCCAGTATCACAGTGGCTGGTCCAGTAATACAATGTCTGCCCCAGTATTACAGTGGCTGGTCCAGTATTACAGTGTCTGGTCCAGTATTACAATGGCTGGTCTAGTATAACAATGTCTGGTTCAGTATTACAGTGGCTGGTCTAGTATTACAGTGTCTTGTCCATTATTACAGTGGCTGGGCTAGTATTACAGTGTCTGGGCCAGTATTACAATGTCTGGTCCAGTATTACAATGGCTGGTCCAGTATTACAATGTCTGGGCCAGTATTACAATGTCTGGTCCAGTATTACAATGTCTGGTTCAGTATTACAGTGGCTGGTCTAGTATTACAGTGTCTGGTCCAGGATTACAATGTCTGGTCCAGTATTACAATGTCTGGTTCAGTATTACAGTGGCTGGTCCAGTATTACAATGGTTGGTCCAGTATTACAGTGTCTGGTCTAGTATTATAGTGTCTGGTTCAGTATTACTGTGTCTGGTCTAGTATTACAGTGTCTGGTCCAGTATTACAGTGGCTGGTCCAGTATTACAGTGGCTGGTCTAGTATTATAGTGTCTGGTTCAGTATTACTGTGTCTGGTCTAGTATTACAGTGTCTGGTCCAGTATTACAATGTCTGGTCCAGTATTACAGTGGCTGGTCCAGTATTACAATGGCTGGTCCAGTATTACAATGTCTGGTCCAGTATTACAGTGTCTGGTCCAGGATTACAGTGTCTGCTCCAGTATTACAGTGTCTGGTCCAGTATTAAAGTGATTGGTCCAGTATTACAGTGTCTGGTTCAGTATTACAGTGGCTGGTCTAGTATTACAGTGTCTGGGCCAGTATTACAGTATCTGGTCCAGTATTAGTGTCTGCTCCAGTATTACCATGTCTGGTCCAGTATTACAGTGTCTGGGCCAGTATTAGTGTCTGGTCCAGGATTACAGTGTCTGGGCCAGTATTAGTGTCTGGTCCAGGATTACAGTGTCTGGGCCAGTATTAGTGTCTGGTCCAGGATTACAGTGTCTGGTCCAGTATTAGTGTCTGGGCTAGTATTACAGTGTTTGGACCAGTATTATAGTATCTGGTCCAGTATTACAGTGTCTGGTCCAGTATTAGTGTCTGGTCTAGTATTACAGTGTTTGGACCAGTATTATAGTATCTGGTCCAGTATTAGTGTCTGCTCCAGTATTACCATGTCTGGTCCAGTATTACAGTGTCTGGTCCAGTATTACCGTATCTGGGCCAGTATTAGTGTCTGCTCCAGTATTACAGTGTCTGGACCAGTATTACAGTGTCTGGCCCAGTATTAAAGTGTCTGGTTTAGTATTACAGTGCAGCCCTCATCTATGCGAACAACTGTTACGTTACCTTATGACACAAGTCGTGCATGGTTTATTTTTAGGACTAAAAAAAGGAACTGAATCGTCATCTATGAAAATGAAGATACATTGTAATTTAAAACACCACGTATTGAGCGAGTGTAACACGCTGACCTAGCACCTCTGTATCATGGATGTCAAACGCTGATCTAGCCCTTTCTACGGTCAACAGGGTACATGATCACGCGCCTGTCACCGTCCCGCAATGAACGTGCATTGTGATCTTTTCACCACGTATGACGTTGTGAATTACTCTGCGCATGTCCAGCCGGGCCATATAAGAAGTGGGTACCACACAGGTGTAGTTAGTTTACGTAAAAGGGACAGGTAAGCCACGGGTGACGGTACAGGTACAGAGGACACAACATGGGCGTGACAACATGGCTGGTTTTCTTGGCGTGTTTCTGTGCGATACAAGGTAAGTAAACAAAATTTAATTTTACATATAAAACTTATTTTGATTTCTCATTACTGTCATTTCTTTTGCTTATATAACGAAATAGGGTGAACAGATACACGTATGCTATTACAAGAGTAGTTTTTCACCATCGCCACTTTTATTCAATTTTCATTTTTCTATAGATTTTGCTTCGCGTTATAATTGAACTTGTATCCCATAGCGAACTTTCCTTTCAGATGTATACGGCTATGCAAGTATTTCTGTATACGCCTAGATAGCATTATACTCGTGTATCCCTCGGAGTTTACACAACTATTAAGATATCCTAGACTATTTAAACAGAATGTAACGGCGAAATTAAGCGACAATTTACTGCACTATGCTTTAATGTATAAAAGGCACGTGTTCAACACTAAATCATGACGGCACGTGGGATGTTGTTGGTTGTCGGTGTCCGTCCGTCCGTTTGCGCACTCTGTTCTTAATTGGTAATTTGTGTTCGGGCTACTTGATGGTTTCCGTCGCTGCGAACTTTCTAGACCGATTGTTGCTTACGTGTTGGGTAATTGTTCATGCAACTTTATGGTTTCATAATTGTCGTAAAATAAAGTTTATATTTATATTATATTGTAAGTGCTACATTATAACAGTACTTCTCGATGCCTTTTATTTCTACCCTCTCGGTATACAAAGTTCCCTCATTTTATCTTTATTTTGTATCGTATGTGTAGGCAAGTTGACAAATTGCAGAATAAAAGATAATCCTTATTAATCGATAGAAATTACATTATATGAATGTAGTAGGGCGACGAAAAGGGATAAAGATAGTGCCGTCCCTGGGGCTCGAACCCGCGACCCTTGGCTCTCCAGCCCGATGCTCCACCGCTTAGCTAAAGGGAATTCCCGACAGCTGACGCTTGCATTGTAAGGCAACTTATTAATCCACATTTTTTACATGAATACATATAAATATAGTATTGACGGTATTAAGAAGGCCAAATACAAATGTACATGTGGTTCCTATTCCCGACCGTTCCTATTTCCCCTTAAATATTTTATTAGTTTCTCAAACTGTCGACCGTTATGACATGTATTTTGTTAATTTCCGAATCTAGAACTAAATTAAAGTTGATGCATTGCCGACTCAACACGAATGCCTGAATTGTTTGAAATTGTTGTATTTGCGTTTTGATTGTATGGCGTGGAATAATTATATATTTGGTGCCATTCATACCTTTTTAAAACAATATTATTTACTATATTCAAGCATATAATGAAGATTTTCTTCACCAGAATTTTTATTTTAATAAATCAATGTAAACTTCCCAGCGTCTACGTCTGCGCCGGCGTTCCACTTCAGGTCAGGTTTTGAGCAAGTTTTTTCAGACCGTGTTAAATCACCAGTTAAAGGCTGTTGGCCATTATAAGGTTGTGATATTTATATGGGACGTGAACAGTGCTGAACCCCTTTTTTTAGGGGCCAACACGGCTAACTTTTGTATTATTGTCATTGGTTTGTGTGAAAAAAATACGTCGTTTTCTCAAAAATTGATGACGTTACTCTCACAAGCAAATGACGTAACAAGCAATACCTGCTCACAAGAGAAGATAACTCTGCAATACGAAAAGACGGAATATTGCAAAATTCGCTTTATATGTCTCTGCTGTAACCCATGTTTTGTATGGTTTCCTATTTTGTATAACAAATGATACTCAAACTGTCAATACCAGTTTATATTAATTACCAGGGCCGTTTTCGCTTAAACGGTTGAACCAGTCGGACGAGAGTTGTTCGTTTATTAAATGTCGGCCCTAGAAGTCTGATGCTGCTTTCAGGCGAACATTGACAAAGCCTTGCAAGGCCTGCGTAAACATTTGGTCCAAGTCTGCCAATATCTGTATATGTACACTTTGGCCATTTGCCGGAGAGAATTTATATAGGCTTTCCCCGTTACTCTATCCAATTGACTATGAAATCTTGTCAATAAAAATTGATGACAAGAAATGAACATTTGCAGGTCCGCCAGGATTTACACCCGGAATTGTTACATTTAAAAACGGACAAACCGGTTGTTTCGCATAAACCACCTGTTGCAATGCATATATTGCTATTGATATAAATAACTTATATATCCTAAATAGGCGAGCTGTGCTGTCTGAAACTGTTCTTGTTAACAAATGGAGGACATCACTAAAACAAATTCTTAAAAGTGGTAGTGATGAAACCTTTAGGTCATATATGAGAATTATTTACTAATGTATTTCGGTTGCCATTGACAACCATGTCCATCTCGTTTACATTTTATGATCGAATGCGCCGATTCTCTACAAGAAAGTAAAATATTGCAACATCATATGAACAGTATCCTTTTAATGCCTGTCACTTTACAGTTAAAGCATTTTTGACATTGTTTTAAGTAAGTTTGCATTTTTGCGAGTCTATTTCATAGTATATAATTTGGCCAAATTTAGAATAATTCTACTGTCCTTCATTATTACAGGAAGTTTGGGATCGTTTCAGAAACGTCGCATATCCGCGACGATTGCTAAGATGTTGCGAAGACTGGCCAGGAAACGAGTTAACCCAGCATCAACTGCCTGGACCCCGTCCATGCTAACCTCGACCATTCCTACCTCGTACCCGACAAACTTTCCCACCGTCAATCCAACATCGCCCAACCCGATCGACTTCTACCAGCACTGGGTCGATTGTCCCGTCCTGGAAAGCATACACGAACAGTATTTCTGGGAATTCCCCAATACGGCGTTTCCAAAAGGTATTTACATGTATATGCGTATAATTGCATGAACTTGATGCTGTAAGCTTCGAACTTTTTGCATTTTGCATGACTTATCTCCCTTGTAGATATTTCAAATACAGTCAAACCTGTATATAAATGACATTCCAAAAAGTGGGCTCTTGACACAAATAGTCTCTTAATACAGGTTCACGTATAGGAGTGGTCAAAGATGGTATGTTTTACTAATAAAAGATGGTCGCATCAGCAGGCCGTACGTACTCTACTACGAGAGATTTACATTGGAGTTCACAAATGTAGACACGTGACATCGGAACACGCCGGCATCTACAGTAACTTTAGCTGGAGTTTCCTCTGGCCCTGACACCAGGCTAAGACATTTTAACAGATGTCTAGTGCCCACACCAGACAATGGCGTAGTCTGGTGTCGGGGCCAGAGGAAAGTCGGGCCACAATATCTTTCTAAGGTAGAGCAAGGACTATCACAGGGAATCTCGTTTAACGTGTGAATCTCGCGGTGTCCCGTTGTGAAAAGAGGACTCCCGTTGTTGTTTTTTTGGAATGTTTAGGTTTTATTTGTATAACATCAAATCTGAACACGAGTGTCAAGGGAGCGTGAGATTCATTTTGATATTTTATTTCTACAGATTCCATGAACATTTCCCCCGAGGAGATGCGACCAGTGATGACCAGGGGGGTGTCTGCGTTTGACTATATGAAGAACGTGCGCGTGGCTATGGACCTGATGATTGAGGACACGGCCAGACTGATCATGGACAAGCGTGTAAACTGTACCACCACCATGTACCAGAGAGTATTCGTGTGTATGTAGCGTTACTACACAATACTAGATTGTATCATTAATGTAGAGAAAGATAAACCTACGGCTAATTTTACTAGAAGTTTAATCGTGGTTACAGTGACAAATTGATAGAATATAAACAGTTTAGTACCCACAAATTGCAATATATTTACATTGGTTTGGTATAGTATTGTTTAATGTTCTATCAACAGCCATGGTCATTCAAGGACGGCCTCCCCTGTGCGCAAGATGCATGCGTGGTTGCATGCGTGTGTGTTTTGGGAGGCTGCGATATGTTCGTGTTTGTCTCCTTGTGATAGCGTGGAACTGATGCCGACTTTCAGTGCTACCTCACTTAAACATACTGCCGAAGACGCCCAGCAGGACACCCCACCCGTTCACATTATACTGACAACGGGCGAACCAGTCGCCCACTCTTTAATTGCTGAGCGTTAAGCAGGGGTAGTAACTACCATTTTTACAGACTCTGGTATGTCTTGTATCTGGTGTCGGCCAGGGAACAGAACCCAAAGCCTTCCTCACAGGGGCGAACTAAAGGCCAAAAGTGGGGCATTGTAAAGGGAGACATTAGGAAGAAGAAACTTGTTTAGAAAGAAGAGAAAAGATAAGATCCCAAATTTAGTCGCCTCTTACGATCATGCAATGGGGGCAGCAGGTACAATTCTTACGCCCTACCTGCAGGGACATTGAAGTCTGTCAAAAATTATATACGTTGAATTGTTCAGCTTTATTCAAGAACAAAAGGATTATGGTTAAAGCTGTCGTGTTTAATATTAACATTTATATTTGCAACACAATGCACGCGTACTTGAGAAACAACTGTCCTTAAATGACCTTAATTGTTAATATGACGTTAACCCGTTTTCGATACTCCAGGTGTTACGCTCACGTTGGCTGTCTACAGAGAGAGTAAATCCTGGAGTATCGAGAATGACGTTTACCCTACAAAATAAAACCCAAACTTGTGAAACTCCGTATATGTTCAATACGACATCAACATCTTGAAAATCCGCACGCTCCTTAAATCCCCTCCCTGTCCTGTTGTATGGAGAGGTCACGAGTTCCTGTTACGAAAGTTATTACAATATGCTTGAATTTTCAGACTACATGAGGCGACGACTTGACCAGATGATGTCGCCACGTGACACCTCCCTTAAAAGCCGTATCGAAGTCATACTGAACCAGTACTTCCCAAACAATCCCGACATCCTCAGCCGCTCGGGAGAACTAGTGTGGGGAGTCCACTACGTCGTGCACGAGTCCTTCATTCATACCTTACAGGAAGAGATGTTCCGAAGTAAGTCGGTTATCATTCTTAAAATTCTTTTTGATGGGTGTCATACCACTGATTCTACCACCAATTAGAGATGTTCAGTGTAGGAGTTATCTGTAGTGTACACATTTGACTTCGGGTACGGTGTAATAGAGGTCCAGAATTGTTTTCATTTACTTCTCATGCCGGTTGTATTAGTGAATTGATCCGTGTTTGAGTTCAATAGTTTCCCGATGGTCATTGCTGTTGGCGATTACTTGTGGAAAGTGTTTCCGGTTGCAGTAGCGCAGGATACATCCTTAAGTCTCCGTGTCGGACCTTGATATCACTAACCCTTAAATCGCCATGTCGCTGCGAAGTTGTGTGTTCGTCTTGATGATAAAAGGAAAAACTATTTAAACAATTGATTTTCACATTTGCTCGACAAGGTATCGCTTTTGAAATCCAGTAATTGACAATTTGCCGTTTTAAACTCTTCTTTCAGGTCTTGGTTGGTTTTTACGGGATTACAAATGGGTTATTCCATCTTTCCTGGAGCGATTCCACAGAGGCGAATTCGCATCCATCGATGACGTGACGTCACAGATGGTGAATGATTTCTTCAGCTTTGGTGCGATCTACCCAGACGCATTCCGTTGTACAACGCCGCAAGAATTCATTCATCTGCACACGAGGGTTGCGAACAGGACGGTAAACAAGTATGTGCTTTAAAACCAAAACCTTAAATTAATTATTTGTTTCGACATCATTTGATTACTCCAATTTTGTGGATCATGTTTCTTAGTCGATTTCGTTATATCTTGTTTGTAAATGTTGACGAGTTTATTTATGCTACAGTTACTGGCAGACTCGCAAGTCCGGACTAACCGTGGCGTTCCTCACCAATCACCTCCAGGAGGTTTTTAGCATGCCCCACGCTCCCTCTCCTGTGAAACTTGACCCCTTGGTTGTGGACGAGGCCATTCAGAAGTTGGTGACGGTCATACTTGGATACATGAACGATACGATGGTGGAGCTAGCTACGTATGAAGGATATTTAGCATCAGCAACTCTGTCCCCGCCCACCTTCATGGCCAGCAGTCTCAGTAAGTAGCTTGATTTATAGCCCGGGGGGTTCATCTCGTACCTAAAAAACACTGTTGATCTGTTCAATATGTCGCTAACCATAGCCACTTTTACTTTCCAAGTATAATTCTGTCATTTACCTTTTCGTTCGTTTGATGTCGTTTCCTTGGACAGGTGCTATCTACTTTGTATGTGCCCTAATGATATCTTTCGTGTTGATGAGCCGTTAGGAATCCAGTAATATCCCTCGTATGTTCTTAATGTTACATATATAGTCATAATATTGTCAAAGAACTTTCTGGGTATTGCAATAATTTTATAAAACGATATTTTTACGAATAGTAGGTATTTTCTTGAACATTCAGTCAAATGGATTATATGAATTTCCTATATAACATTTCCGTATCTGTTGCCCAGGTGACGTACAATGGAACACGACAGTGATGCTGTTTTACCGGATGTTCCCTAACAGTCCGCTCCCTCCCATTGGAACGGTATCTCCAGGTACGCCTTTGTAATACTCGCTGTCATTTCCGGTGTCTTGTACTTCCGGTATTCGAATATGGCTTATAGATGTTCCGTTTTGATTTTCCGAGAGACCCCTGTTATGGTAGCGAGTCTCATCAATTTTCTGTATACAGAGTGAAAATAATTTTCTATTAAATTGTTAATAAATTAGTAACATTTTGAACCGATGAAAGGCCAAATGTACGTAAGAGGAAGTAATACATTATTTCGGGGACGACCATTTTGTTCTGATCGTGTTTGGGGCGGGCGAACTTGACGCTCCATTTATACCAATATGTCTTGGATACAAAAAAACAAGTATTTTAAAGTCTTGGGCGAAATGTGTGTTATAATTCATTTTGAAAATTGAATTATCAAGTTAAAAAATTCCGCATAAATATTCTCATTTTTCACGTCAGAAGTTCTGGTTCAGTTTTAATATTTCGGAACGGTTTCTCTTTGCATAAAAGTCATATTTAATTAAGAGAAACATCCCAACATTAATTTCCAAATTCGGTCTGGGCCCCGCCCCTCGGAAACCAATTGGCACAAGTGCAAGATAAGTAGAACGATTATCTAAATTCCAAGAGGTATCACGGGTAAATAGAATAGCAACTCCCATATGGCTTCAAATTTTATTAACCGGCTGCCAAGAGCTAAATAAAACGGAACTCTGCAATTTTTTTTATTGTTTATTGCAGGATGAAGTCCCTGATGCCAACTACCTGGGACTCGGATCAAGAATACACCACGATTTAGAAAGAACTGGATAATATGATACACGAAAAGGGGGTGTTCATTAACGGCGTACCGGCGGCCGGTTTCTACGGGAAGTAGGGGGCGCTGTCGAGTACCAATAATGAACGGTGCTGTCTGGATTTGTTAATTGTTTGTTAGAAAACTTCGTTGAATTTCGTTAAAATTGACACTATAATTCGTTTTTTCTTGTTACATTTATGCATAATAAATTTTAAGATATTGTGACCGAGTCGTTATTGTTTTCGCCATCTGCAGACTACGGTTATCGCTTACAGCAGTGCAACGTGCCACCTTTTTAAAAAGATGTCCACTATTACAACGTCTGGTGCAGTATCTAGTCCAGTACTATAGAGTCTGGTCCAGTATACAGTGCCTGGTCCAGTATACAGTGCCTGGTCCAGTATACATTGTCTGGTCCAGTATACAGTGTCTGGTCCAGTATACAGTGTCTGGTCCAGTATACAGTGTCTGGTCCAGTATTATAGTGCGTCTGGTCCAGTATTATAGTGGGTCTGGCCCAGTATTATAGTGGGTCTGGTACAGTATTATAGTGGGTCTGGTCCAGTATTATAGTGGGTCTGGTCCAGTATTATAGTGGGTCTGGTCCAGTATTATAGTGGGTCTGGTCCAGTATTATAGTGGGTCTGGTCCAGTATTATAGTGGGTCTGGTCCAGTATTATAGTGGGTCTGGTCCAGTATTATAGTGGGTCTGGTCCAGTATTATAGTGGGTCTGGTCCAGTATTATAGTGGGTCTGGTCCAGTATTATAGTGGGTCTGGTCCAGTATTATAGTGGGTCTGGTCCAGTATTATAGTGGGTCTGGTCCAGTGATATAGTGGGTCTGGTCCAGTGTTGCAGGGTCTGGTCCAGTGTTGCAGGGTCTGGTCCAGTGTTGCAGGGTCTGGTCCAGTGTTGCAGGGTCTGGTCCTGTGTTGCAGGGTCTGGTCCAGTATTAGTGTCTGGTCCAGTATTTTGATGCTACTAAGTTGATAGATAATATTCTAGAAATAAAACGGGTCAAAATGTGGATTAAATATGTATAATTGGTCAGTACGTAGCCCGGGAAAGGAAATTGTGAAATAGAAAAATAAATAAGAGATTTCCTGCTTTTTTCAGATTACCATTAGTACTTTTTACACACACAAAAAACATGTTTAGTTCCCCAAAAGCCCTTCCCTAGGAGAACAACTGTTCGGGCTTCCTAAGTTACCTAAATGATACAGGTTGTGCATTACTTTATTTGAGACTCAAAAAAGGAAACTTCAAAAAGGAAACTTGTGTATTGGAAAAATATCAGAAAGATAGAAAATTAAAACCTCCCTCGAGTTATAGGTATCGAGTAGTTTATTCGTTCCGGAGTTTTGCCAAGTTTCTTATTACATATGTACCCGTAAACACTGTGTCGTGAATGTAAAACGCTGCCCTAACACTTTCTACGGGGTACCAATCGCGAACCGTCGGCACTTTCCGTAAACGAGAAAATAAGTATCTTCTCGTTTACGGAAAGTGACGACGGTTCCCGATTGACGGGGTACGTGAACACTTGTCTGTCATCGTCCCGAAATGCACGTGCGTTGTGACCTTTTCGCCATGTATGTTGTCTCGTTCAACAAGACTCTTGCTGTCTGCGCAAGCTACGTCTTGAATTACAACTCATCAAGCGTCTGGTTGAACGAGACTACCATGTATGACGTTGTAAATTACCCCGCGCATGTCCAGCTGGGCTATAAAGAGGCGGGTATTTTGTACGTGAAGGGACAGGTAGGTGACTGTACAGGTACAGAGGAGACAACATGGGCGTGACAACATGGCTGGTTATCGTGGCGTGTTTCTGTGTGATACAAGGTAAGTGAACTAAAAACTAATTTTACGTACAAAACTTATTTTATTACTGTAATTTCTTTGCTTACACGTACGCCACAGGCATTTGGTACTGCCAATAAGAATAGTCATGAGAAAACAACCCACAACCTACTCATTTTTTTATTGACAGAAACAAATGCCCGTGACGTACGCTACGACAAAAGAATAGTTGCACAGATGTAGTGGTATGGGTAGATCATTTGATTATCAAGATCAGGAAAAACGGATCGGTATAGATTTTGAGATCATGTCGTTATTAACCGTATAAGATGGTCCTAAGATACGTTGATGTGGCGCAGGTTATAAGACTCATGTCCAGGGGTGTAGGATAGGGAAATTCCAACCGAGGAGTTTTCAGATTTGGTAAAACACGAGGCTTTGCCGAGGGTTTTGCCATATTTGAAAATCCCGAGGGTGGAATTTCCCTATCCTACATCCTTGGACGTTAAATAGTATTCTTCCATTTCAATTACCAGAATAAGCTCAGAAACCATGAAAATACGTTTGGACTGGCTACCGTTTTGAAAATTATCATTTTTTCCCCCTGAGCATTTTTTGACGAAAACTAATTGGTCAGCGAGATTTAGCATACCTCATAGTTGCAAAAAGGGTTTGCGTAGAAAAAATAATCTCTTCTTTCTAACGTGTACGGTAAATATATCTTAAAATGTTTTAATTTCATCACCTTGCCTTTGCCGCATTGCGGTATCGATGTTCTCAAAATTACTGACGCCACGTCATTGTTGAGACAGTGACGTCACGCTCATACATGACCGGATATGAGAGAAAAATGTGTCCTCTGACGATTATTTGATCAAACGGGTTTTAAGGTCGGGGAAACGCATAAGCTCATATATAAACGTAGATCATAATGCTATACAGGCTATTATGAGGCGCTTGAGAACGGTGTCCGGTGAGTAAGATATCGGGTTGCATTCCTTGCGTTCTGGCGGGTCATCAGCGGCTGCGAATAATGACGTGAGTGAAAGGTGCCCACCTGAGCGGACGCCATTTTTGTATGTCTGGATAGTGACTAATCAACAAGCCGTACCTATCCGGACCGAAAACGGATTATATCATTCTTGTTTAGAAAGTTTCCGGACCGCCTCTTTTTGTTGATTAGTCACTACCCTGACATACAAAAATGGCGTCCGCTCGTGATCAGGTGGGGCATTTTGAACGATTGTAAACTGAGGACTCTACTGACGGAATTTAGCAGCTGTTGGTGATAATAAGAGCGGATTTGGTTCAATAAATAATCCATGTATCGAAAAATGCGAGGTAGGTGTTATGTCATAGTCGATTTTTGATGTATAGCTGAATGCATTACACTCTTTACTAGCATTTAAACGATTGCTGTATTTTTTGGCTAAAAACCTCAAATTTCTGGACTTAGAAAAAAACTCAACGTTAAGGTTTTGCGTTTAGCTCTTGCATAATAGGCTCTATCTGACAAAGTATAAGAGCTAGACCAACCAAACCTCAATCATACATGTACCATGGGTAGTAGAGCATACTTCTCTCAAAACATTTCATGGATTTCTTCACTTTTTTGGATAAAACCTGAAATTTCTGGACTTAAACGCAAAACCATAATCCATTTCCTTATGCACTATGTCAAATGTTTATTATATTGACAAAGCGGGACAGGCAACACATATTATTACGCGTAATTCTTGTTTTGCTTTGCCTTTATTTTATTCTGACCCAAAAATTCCATATTTTGTATTTCGGCATCATTTGTTTGTTCAAACAATAAATACATTATTGTGCAGGGATTTATTGATCGAACCTATACCTTTCACTCCTGCTAGTCACAAGCTAACTGCGTTACACGTTAGGCTACATCGGACATATACTTATATGGAAATACAAACTATTTTAACCTAAGAAACATCTGTCGCAGTTTTGAAAAACTTGATCAACCCTGTTTTGAGCACTTTCCAAAAGGAGGACCACTTTTCCGTCATACGATTTGTTTTCGCTTATTACATCACGGAATCGAAAAGTTTATTCAAAAGTTGGTTCCTGGAATGGGACAGTATTGGAAAGTATTTTTAAGTCTGCGAAACCCCGTCACTTTCATAGATATAGTGAATATGGCTATATTTGCAGTATTATATTAACAATACCGACTATCTCAGCAGTTCAAAAAATCATATTCAATTGGTTTTATATCTATTCCATGCTTTTTCGCTACCAAAAATTATTTAGTCATCAATATTTTTTTCCGTTTTCAAAAATGCCGACTTTAGGGAAATACGGGTAGTTTTCCGCCACGGCTCTTTAGAAATGACGCATCTTTTCAGGGGAGATCACTCTTAAAATAACATCTTTAACTATATTTACTATATTTATAGTCTTTATTAAAGGATTGTGCATTATATATTTTAATCAGTGGTATTTTATTACTATTTCCAATTTTCTTAGATAAATCCTATCTTTAATGTGTTCCATTTCACTTTTATTCAACTGATCCGATACAAAATGGCGGTAAAAAATCGTGAAAATGTTATTTATAAATATATATATGTATATAGTATATGGGGCAAAGAAGTAATTCCAACAGTGTGGACAAGTTTAGGTTGTCAAATTTTCGGAGCGTTCCGCTCCTTTTTCAAGACACAGTGAAACAGAACAGTTACATGTACATATACATCATATTACGAGAAGATAGAACTGATATACTATAATTGAAAATATAGCTATTATATAAAACCAATAGTCCCCTCGGCTTAAGACAGCCAAAGGCAGCAATTAAGCTGAGAGCATCGCGGACAAGGAACGCTGATGTAGAGGACCTATTCTTGCGCAAGATGCACTATCATTTAAAGTGAGTCAACGAGAGATATCAAAAACATGGAACATTTGCATGTGGAAATCTGGCCCGGTAAATGCGAATAATCTCCAATTTGCTACGGAATGTCTCATTAGTCGCCTCTCAATACTGCGATGGATCTAACTGTCACAGCAGGGGGTCCACACTTATATAGTATAGTAATACCTTGCGCACATATATTGAACATTCAGGTAAATTCAAAGCTAGTTAAGAAATAGCTAGTAAATATCGCAGGATAATTTAATAAGTAAAATCAATAAAGGTACAAAAGCGTAGCAGAACAGAAGTCATCACAGACTGGTGGCATTTGATGTTAAATTAATAAACTGGAGGTAAACAATGAATACTAGTATGTTGCACTATTATCACTACCCGAGGTTTAAAACATATTCTAATATACATACATACACACATACACACATACATACAGACATACAGACATACATGCACACATACACGCATACATACATACATACATACATACATACATACATACATACATACATACATGCATACATACATACATACATACATTCATACACACATACATACACACATACTTTTGTATTTCTAACGGATCGGAGAGCACGGGTTTAGTGCGCAGACGAATATATACGTCCGCCGCGCAATACACGAGTGCTTTTTCGTTCGTTAGAAATACACAAGTGTGTGGTCTTGCTTTTATCATATACCTTCCGTATATGGTAGATATCGATACAAAGATTTTATAAATTTTGATTTTTTTTGCAAATACCGAGAACTTTTCAGTTCGTCATGACAAGGTAGTTCCGGCTAGTAGGTGAATATAACACATGCGCAATACAGAACGTTGTATTTCGTGGTCTGAAAATTGCTGATATTACTATAACAAGATTCAACAGGTATGTGATAAATGCTAATATAGCGAAGTGTGAAATTTGACGGATAAACACTAATCCGATTTATAATGGGGACAATTTTAACTACATTTTTTTATTGGGAGCTAAAAGCATTTATTTTAAAATATGCTGCGTGAGATAGCATACAAGTCATCATACACGATAGTAAAATGGATACAGCAAGTTACTGTCGAAGGGAGGAAACTCCATCATATGTGTTAACATTACCTCCCCTTATAGTTCTAGGTGAAAGGTAGGGAGTATAGTGGGAAGGAAATAATCATTTGGGTATGTATCGGCAAACTAAAGCGGAAAGCGAGTGGGTGGAGTTTTCAATAGAGGAAAGACGGAAGTGTTTACCGACAGAAAGGGGCCGAACAAGCAAGTGATTGGGCAACCCCCACCGACTAAACCTGTCCTAACATCGTGTCTCCAAGCACTAAGATTAAAAAAAATAATGTCCATATCGTAACTATTAACTATTGCGAACGGATATTACAATCAATAATCGAATGCGCCGATTTGAAACAACTGATAATTGTCTGCGCCATTGATGAGATTAACTTTCAATTTACCTGTACGGCGATATAATATACTTTACAGCCCGTTCGTTTGCAGGTTAAGTTTTTTTGGTATCTGTGACTGTATTTTTATATTGTAATTTGGCCCCTGGTGACTCGAATTGTTGATGAGCCGCGGGACAACACAAAAATAAAAAATGCTCAAGATTTCTATATATAGCTATGTGGTACACGCCGTAATGTTTTGTAGGGGAGACAACTCTTGCATCAAAAGCAAGCTTTAATATTTGAAATAACTTTTTATACTGTCCGTTCATTATTACAGAAAGTTTGGGATCGGTTCAGGAACGTCGCAAGTCCCTGACGATTGCCAAGATGTTGCGAAGACTGGCGAAGAAACGAGATATGGCGATCGGGACCATGCATACCTCGTACCCGACAAACTATCCAAATGTCAATCCAACATCGCCCAACCCGATCGACTTCTACCAGCACTTGGTCGAATGTCCCATCCTGGAAAGCATACTCGAACAGTATTTCCGGGATTTCCCCAATGCGACGTTTCCAAAAGGTATTTACGTGTATAATTGTATGAACTTGATGCTGTGTGTTTAGCCTATAATTACAGTTATAAGCATCGAACTTTGGACAGTTAACATGGCTTATCTCCCTTGTAGATGTGTCCAGTAGTCGAACCTGTATGTAAAAGAGCACCCATTGGCAACCCAAAGGTTGGCTCTTGGCAAAGATGGTCTATCAATACAGGTTCACGTATAGGAATGGTCTAAGACGGTAGGTTTTCCTAATAATAGATGGTCGCACCAGCAGGCCGTACGTACTCTACTACGGGAGATTTACATTGGAGTTCACAAATGTGGACACGTGACATCTGAACAACGTCATCTACAGTATCTTTACCTGGAGTTTCCTCTGGCCCCGACACCAGGATAAGACATTTTAACAGATGTCTAGTGCCCACAAGGGGACAAAAGGCACTCGTGAATCGTGCGGTGTCCCATTGTGAAAAGAATATTTTCGGTAAAAACTTTAAAAGAGCCCTGCATGTTAAGGTTTTATTTTTATCATATCTGAACACGAGTGTCAAGGGGGCGTGCGATTCAATTTAATATCTTATTTCTACAGATTCCATGAACATTTCCCCCGATGAGATGCGACCAGTGATGACCAGGGTTGTGACTACGTTCGACTATCTGAAGAACGTGCGCATGGCTATGGACCTGATGATTGAGGACACGGCCAGACTGATCATGGACAAGCGTGTAAACTGTACCACCACTATGTACCAGAGAGTATTCGTGTGTATGTAGCGTTACTACACAATACTAGATTGTATCATTTAATGTAAAGTAAAATAAAACTAGGGCTAACTTTATAACTTCGACTCGGTGTTAACTGTGACAAATTAATAAAAAATAAACAATTGGTGTTATCAAAAGCAAGATATTTACATTGTGAAGTTTGTCAATTTCTAAACATTAAGAACAAAATAATTATGGTAAAAGCTGTCGTGTTTAAATGTTTATATTTATGCATCACATGACCTTAGCTGTTAATACGGCGTTAACGATGTACTTTTCTGGGGTTTCAATCACGTTCGAGTCTCGTTTTGATCTGGTGTAACGGGTTTTAGTAATATTTGACAAATTGTGATAGGTTTAACAGCAAACACACATCTGAAAAACATGTCAAAAAAAACAGACGTCTGTTGTGTGTAGAACACTTTTTACAAGAATTCGAAAACAATTACCAATTTGGAGGCTATTTTGAAAAAGTGAATTTATGTGAATTTCTTGCGCTTCACAAAGGGCCAAAATTTCACCTTTTTTGACACTAGATTGATCACTTGAATTGTCATTGTGTCACCATTTTCAATTGTAGCAGGTTCAATTTTGCTGTACAACTTTATAATGTTCAATATGATTAAAATATTATGCAATTAAGTGGAAAAGTAAATATTTATGGCATTGGTTGTTTTACATATTGGGGTAACTGAAGCACTTTTGATTTTTGACCCCGAAAAAGGTGAAAAATAACACATATAATAATGGGGCAAAAAAGGAAGCACACTGACACCCCATTTTTGTGGCTGTTTTAGAAAGAGAAAATCATTTTCTTTTCATTCATTGAATACTAAAAATAGTTTTATAGCAGAACTTTTTATATCAAGTGTTTAATCTGCAAAAATGGTGAAAAAATGTGTATGTTTTCATTAAAAAATTAAGGGGTAGGGTTAACTAAAATCGCCTTTCTGAATAAAAAGAATAAGATTAAGATATTTTACTTCCATGATTTAAAAGAAAATAATATTTTTATCAATTCTACAAACATTCATACATATCTGATAACACACTTGGAAGAAATTGTATGAATTTGTTCTGCAAATGGTCAAAACCCAAAAATTTACCTAAAATCACATTGTGTTAAATTGGTATGTTTGACCAATCATACCACAAAAACAAACACACGGACATATCATTTTTTTTTGCATTTTCTACTATGCCATTATCTTCTTTTTCCAAAAATCAATAAAAGAACAAAAGTTTATTACGGGATTTTTTTTACTTCTAAGAGGTGTACATCCTTAACCCATGCTCGCAATTCCAGGGATTGCGCCCACTTACGCTCTCTGCAGAGAGCCAAAGTGAGCGTGACCCATTGGAGTAAAGAGGATAACGTTTAACCCTATAAAACAAAACCAAATTTGCGAAACAAAGTTTATTTTCAATACGACATAAACATCTTGAAAATCCGCACGCTCCTTAAATCCCCTCCCTGTCCTGTTGTATGGAGAGGTCACGAGTTCCTGTTACGGAAGTTATTACAATCTGCTTGAATTTTCAGACTACATGAGGCGACGACTTGACCAGATGATGTCGCCACGTGACACCTCCCTTAAAAGCCGTATCGAAGTCATACTGAGCCAATACTTCTCTAACAACTCCACCATCCTCGACTACGCCGGCCAACTACTTGGGGGAATCCACTACGTCGTGCACGAGTCCTTTATTCATACCTTACAGGAAGAAGAGTTCAAAAGTAAATGCGTTATCATTCTTAAAATTCTTTTTGGTGGTAGCATACCACTGATTCTATACCACCCATCGGAGATGTAGAAGTTATCTGTAGTCGTTCATATTTTACCTCGGGAACGGTGTCATCGAGGTCCAGAAATATACTTATATTAATCACTCTTGTTGGCCCGGATGTTAGCGCGCGAGGGGTCTTAGTGTGGGAGGAAACTAGAGCACCCGGAGAAAACCCAAGTTGTCGGGCAGGTGACCCTAAACATGTTACGTCCGATCGGGGAATCGAACCCCGGCCGCCTTGCTGAAAGGCAAGTGCACCACACACCCATCTAAAACATGCAATGTAAATAATGGCTATTTAAACATTAACAGCATCTAATTGATCTAATCAAGCCAGATGAGTTTGGGCATGTCATGTTTTCATTAAACAAATCTTCCTATTAACTAATTTCTCATGTCGGCTTCATATTTAGTAAATTGATTGGAGAACACGAGATCAATATCGGGAGTTATCGACCTTTAAGTATTCGGCCGTCGCTTGTCTAGACAAGTCGAAATTTTCTGAGGGTCATCACCGTCTGTGGTCACTTGTGGAAAGGTGTTTCCGGTTGCAGTGACGCAGGATACAACATAGAGTCACGGCTAGATGCCATTCACCCTTAAACCTTCATGTCGCTGCGAAATGACGTGTTTGTGTTGGGGGCAAAATGAGACACCTATTTTTAGAACAATCGAATGTCATTGTCACATTTTCTCGACAGGGTATCGCTTTTGTAAACCAGGTATTGACAATTTGCCGTTTTAAACGCTTCTTTCAGGTCTTGGTCGATTTTTACGGGATTACAAATGGGTTAGTTCATCTTTCCTGGAGCGATTCCATCAAGGCAAATTCGCCTCCATCAATGACGCGACGTCACAGATGCTGAATAATTTCTTCAGCTTTGGTGCAAACTACCCAGACGCATTCCGTTGTACAACGCCGCAAGAATTCATTCATATGCACATGAGGGTTGCGAACTGGACAGCAAACAAGTATGTGCTTTAAAATAAAAACCTTAAATAAATCATTTATTTGGACATCACTTGATGACTCCCAATTCTGTTATGTTTATATATAAACACGTACATGTAGATCAGATTCCTTGGTTGATAACATTACGTCCTTGTTTTATTCTGCAGTTACTGGCAGGCTTACAAATCTGGACAAGCCGTTTCTTTCCTCACCGATCGATTCCAGGAGCTTTTTAACGTGCCCCACGCTCCATCTCATATGAAGCTTGACCCCGTGCTTGTGGACGAGGTCGTTCAGAAATTGGTGAATGTCATTCTTGGATATGTTAACGACACCGTGGTGGAGCTAGCTACGTATGAAGGATATTTAGCATCAGCAACTCTGTCCCCGCCCACCTTCATGGCCAGCAGTCTCAGTAAGTAGCTTGATTGAAAGGCCTGGTATATCGCGTCACTAACAACTGTTGATATTCAAACGGATATCGCCAGCCATAGCCACTTTTACTTTCAAGTTGACCTTTGGCATTGACCTTTTCGTTCGTTTGATGTCGTTAACTTGGATACGTGTTATCTACTTGTTATCGGCCCTAATGACCGGTGTTGATGGTCCGTTAAAAATCCAGTAGACATACTATCGTCCAAAAACTGTCTGGGTATTGTAATAATTTTATAAAACGACATTTTTACGAATAGTAGGTATTTTCAGAAACATCCAGTCAAATTGATTATGTGAAATCTGAAATGATTAAAACATGTTTTGATTTTCCCAGGTGACGTACAATGGAACACGACAGTGATGCTGTTTAACCGGATGTTCTCCAACAGTCCGCTCCCTCCCACGCAGAACCCCAGTGGAACGGCGTCTCCAGGTACGCCTATACTGAGTGTTGCCATCTCCGGTGTCTTGTTATCCCGGTATTCGTATATGCCTTGTATATGTTCCGTTTTGATTTCCCGTGAAACCCGTAATATTGTAGAAAGTCCCACTTATTTTCTGTATACATATTGAAAAAAAAAATCCAGTTAAATTCTAAATCAAAACGAAAATAAGATCATTCTGGAGTTGATTACAGATTTCCAGCATGACGACAGGTTCGGGGTCGAGTCCCTGTGCCACGGTTTTAATTCGTTCTTTATCTTTCACTTAAATATAAGATTTCTTTCGTATATAACTTTTGCCTTGGTATATTGGCAATTAACTCAATGTCGGAAAAATTGCTTAACTGGAATTTACTACCTACCTTCATGCACTTAGACATGAAATTTTGTTTAATGTGTAAATCAAATTAATTTCTTGCATCCTTCGCTTTGCATTATTTTGTTGTTACTTTGCATCCTATGTTTATGCTTACAATTGTGAATGAATATGTTCCTTATGAATGTGTATTATTTTGCTGCTATAAAAATTCATGCCATTGTCATGTTTAAATGTGTGTAAAGCACAAAGGCATTGTTGCCTATTGCAAATAAAAATAAAGTTGTTGTTACCATGAAATTTTAATCTAAATACGTGTGATTTACATTTGATCTGAAAATAACTTGATTTACCTCCCTTTACCTGTACTTGATTTCTGTGTAGGTCCCGGAATGAGCTTTGAAAAAATTGCGATGTACCTCCAGAAAGACGTCGAAAACCTAAACAGGTATTTACACCTTACGATCAAAGTTAAATGTGCACTAGATTTCATTTTTTTCTAACATTTTGGATTGTGAAATCTACGTAAGACAAGCGACCATTAGATTTTGATCGGGTTTGGGGCTGGCCATCCTCGATATCCAGGGGTTACGCTCACTTTCGCTCTCTTCACCCCTGCAACATGTCATAGCAAAATTGAAGGCACGTGGCCAGCTATTTGATTGGTGTAAGGTAACAAAAAATCTGACTTATCGCTCGGCTGATACCTGTCCTTTGAAGATTACAAAGGAGAGACGCCCGACTTCAAAGCCTGTCGGTCCTTACCGTTACGTGACCCCGAGATTCTTTTGATGTACATCAACGGACCAAACTAGTCTCCTCGTCTCATCCACAATGTACAGCACATTGAGCCTTCCATTTTGCTATGACATGTGAGCGTAACCCCTTGATATCGAGGATGGGGGGGCTGGCAAGCTCGGGCACACATTATTCTAAACGACTAGGCTTGCCAGATTTACCAATGTGTCTTGGATACAAAGAATTTGGTATTTTAAAGCCTTAGGCGAAATGTATGTTATAATTCATCTTGAAAATTAAATTATCAAGTTAATAATTTCCGCATAATAATTATCATTTTTCACGCGATAAGTTCTGGTTCAGTTTTGATAATCGGAACGTATTCTCCATGTATGAAAGTCGAATTTAATTAACCCGAGAAACTTCCGAACATAAATTTCCAAATTCGGTCTTTGGAATCCGATTTTCATAAGTGCAAGATCGGTAAAACGATTCTCTAAATTCCAAAAAGTATCGCGGGTAAAAAGAATAGCACTCTCATTAGGAGTTCATGGCTATGGCGGTCATCTACACATTTTATTAACCGGCTGTCAAGAGCTAAATAAAACAGAACTCTTCAAAAGCTGTTATTGTTTATTGCAGGATCAAGTCCCTGATGCCAACTACTTGGACCTGGGATAAAGAATACGCCATGGTTCAGGATGTACTGGATAATATGATTAACGAAAAGGAAAAAATCCTCCGCAAATTTAGATATTAATATACGGGAAGTAGGTGGCGCTGTCGAGTACCAATAATGAATAGTGCTGTCTGGATTTGTTTAATTGGTGTTGGAAAACGTCGTTGAAATGACAGATTCGTTTTTTCTAGTTACATTTATGCATGATAAATTTTTAAGAAATGTCACGGAGTCTTAATTGTTTCCGCCATTTACAGGGTACGGATAGCACATCACCTTTTGAACATGCCACCGTTTAAAAAAAGATGTCTGCCTGTATATTGTAGAGGTTTAGTCACTAACAAGTAGCTAACTGGAAATCTGTATTTCACACCTTTGATACTGAATTGTGAAGGTTATTAAGAATTGGTGATGCCAGATTATAGTTTGTTACAAATTCGTTCAACTTATACGATACAAGTCGTACGGATCACATCAACTGGACTCGCGCAAGTATTTTGTACCATAATGCTAATATTTGGCATAAGGGTTCCCGAGGGCTCGAACCCGAGTTGATGCAGGATGTCGAGGAGATGCTATTGGAGTTCGATTCTTCTCCTCTATTGACTTAAACCTTGAGATTTGGAATAAAAACAAGTTTGCGCAGAAGTACCAGTTTTAATTAGTTATTTTTAATGCCCCTACTTGGTGTTCAATTTTTAATTTGGGTACACCAAAGTCGAATAATGAAGCATGGAATTAAATTTCTTTAAAACTTTCATTTATCCAATTAAATATATTAAAACCCGACACTTATCAGTTAAATCGCAAGTTGAATGCAATTCTAATTCGAACAATTTTTGATCAAAACATTTTAATTAGGACATTCAAAACGCTTTCAAAACGCCTTGGGAGGTTGAAACAGTTTTACATCGACCGGCCAGCGCATTTCGAAAACAAGTTCTCCAGTAACTGTGACTTCAGACTAAACTTTATGCTTGCATAACGGAAATGCGTATCAAGCTTAGTATACCAAATTGAGCAGAAAACCTGCATGCCTTATGACGCTATAGGTTATTCTATTCTGATTGGACAACGCATTCCATACGATAGCTTGTATAAAGTGACGAATTTCGGTAAGCCTGGCCGCGTCCTCGTGAAACTTTTTATCATGCACAAATTGATATTCAAATTTGATCTCTAACCAGTTTTCGTATTCCAATTATAAAAGTAGTAAAATCATGTTTTGTCCACTATTTTGAAGAGTTTGAGCGACTTGGAATAGAATGTCAATAGTTGATATTTGACAGCGTCACATTTGACAAGTAACAAAAAATGAGCACAAAATCCAGGTGAGCACGGGACGTTTCACGAGTACAGGCCATTGTGTGTGAAAAATTATGTTATAAGTCTTTTTTCGAAAGAAGTGTTGTATAAAATTACACATTACATTGCGATGCATTTTACAGAACTATACCTGATGAAATTTGAATGCTGGGAACAAAAAACCAAACAGAAGGAAATACTGCAGCGATTGAATTCGTCAACTTTTACATTACAAAACCTACACTCGCCAAAAATGCTATCCAGGATTTAAAGTTACATGGCGTCAGGTTACGGACAAAAACACATTCGAATAACTTTTTATTGCTTCATCTTTACACATGGGAGACTACTTGCAGCCAAAACAAATCCATGTGAAACTCTACTTCGCGCTTTTAGCTGAAGCAGGGGTTCGCTTGACCCAAAACCTAATATTTCACTTAATTAATTATAACATCCAACAACGATTTCTGATTTGTTTGTTTTGATTGCTTCCCCTTTTCCACTTTTTAACGATATCTAGGCCCCTATTCCCCTGACGTTACAATGCTAATAACTAGGTCCCTCTGACGTCATAGCGACTATAGCTAGATTTCTGTCCCGCTGACGTCATAATGGCAGGCTATCATTATACCCATGTCTACCTGATGTCAACGACTATACATAGGCCTCGTCCACTTGACGTCATAACATAGGAGGACAGTGAAGCTGTTTAAAGGACGTGTTCCACGCTCCAGTATACGTGCTGTATGTAACTGTGACAGCCTACCGCATCTAAGGAGCTGACCGACCTTAGGGCGTGATCTGGACGGGCAAGGTCATTTTGAATCGCCGACGGCCCGGTAAGCTGGGGACTTACCCCCTCAAGACGACAGAACACGGGCTTCGCCCGTGAAAAGGAGTCCGTCTTTGCGTATTGCAGAGTTATCTTCTCTTGGGAACAGGTATTGATTGTTACGTCATTGGTTTGTGTGAGAAAATTACGTCGTTTTCTCAAACTGATGACGTTACTCTCACAAACAAGCGACGTACCAATCAATACCTGCTCCCAAGAGAAGATTACTCTGCAATATTCAAAGACGGAATAAACCCATCAACCAACCAACCAATTGACGTCATAACGGCAATAACTAGGCCCCTGACGTCATAACGCCTGATTTGGCCTCGACCCTTTTTGACGTCATCATAAAGACGAACAATAGACATTGATTTCCCCTGGTTTCTTATGTAATGTACTTTATTTCAGTTGGTTTGTGTCGGGTCTTGACATTCCTCTTACAATATAGAAAACAAACGAAAATATCTGATGTGACATTTTTATTTATGTAGTAACGAGTATCACAATTGTCTGGCGTAGAATAGCACTCGAGGGTATAAAGGTCAAGGTCGACATAGGTATATCGCGGACTCCCACACAGACAAGTCTGGCTTCCTAAGTCTGTTCACACAGATAACGAACACCTGGGAACGCGTCCGATCGTTCCCAAACAGCCAGACATGCGCTAATCTGAGAAACAACAGACGGACGAAAAAGCGGATGCAATAAAAAATAATCTTTGGAATTTACAACAGTAATCCGTCTAGGTACTTTTATATCGTGAGATTGCTGAGTTAACTTTATATATTGTACTGCTGTAAGTAACGGGTTATATTGGATATAATGGTTTTGAAACATATTTTTTCCTGGAGTGACTCTTTGGACAATACTGTTTTTCTTCAAAACTTCCAAATTGCGACTTAAAAGAAAAAAATAACCCTACACATTAGAATAGTTTACACCACAAGACTTCGACGTGAGAAAGACGCGAATAAATAAGTTCACCAATGATCACAGAAAGGACGGTACGACAAATTAAACGCCCGTGAAATGAACATAACGACTCTACAGCGAATATAGTAAATTAACCATGTTTCGTTACAATTTGGCAAAATTAATTCATTCGGTATAAATTGTAATGAAACGTGTTTAATTTACTGTTAAACAGATGTTTTCTTCATTTTTTTTTACCAAAGACACGTTCAATAGCGTCTCGCTCACATTAAAGTCCTTTGGTGTAAGATGCGAATTCATGTGAAAATAAAAGACCTATATCACACGGAAAATAAAGACTTGACGTAATAGATTCTATTTATATCGCAGAATACATTCCGATAACTTCCAACTACATGACCACTTTTTTCCTAAAGGAGATATGCTTAAGAATATGCAAAGGTATTCCACATTTATAAACTTTAAAATATCTTTGTTGCAAGGTTATTTGGATTCTGTTAAATAAATGACACGTCTGATATGATTCTGACACTGGTAACTTTGGACTTCTTCTTAATTACGAAATAAAGCTGATAAGATAATTAAGGAAGGACAATCTTATACAACGTTAAGTAAAGGATCCCTGTCCCCCACTGCAAGAAAAAACACTAAAGAGTTCCAATGTAATCTTTCATACATGGAGTAACCTCCCTTTAATCTTAGATATGTCTATAGTTGGACCAGGATATAGGGCAACCACTGACCAGCTGGTAGTTCAGTTTGAATGACAATACTAGGATCAGAAGGTCGAGGGTTTAAAACCCTGGTCTCGCCCTTAGTCTCAGAAAACTGGATTTTTCATTATTATTCTATTTTCATAAAAGTTTCACTAGGTATAAATGTCTTTCAAATATGATTTATGAAAACTTTTATCATTACCAAAGGAATTTTTTTTTGGCAGTGGTACGTGGAACCCTAATATATGCAACCTATATACATTAAAACAAGTATACCTCTTGTTCTGGGACAAAATAAATAAGTTAAAGGACATCTCTGGGGAATGTACATCAATATAGATCTATATCATAAACATCTGCATAGTTAATAGGACTCGTACAAAAATACTGACACAATGGTATATATATATCTAATCACATTTGGCACAAAGAATCTGTTGAATACAAAAAGGAGGCCGTTTAAAAGGTCCTGAACACAAAACAGATTGTGTTCAATTTGTAAGGTCTTGGACACATATGAAGACTGCGTTCAAGGTCTTGGACACATATCGGACCTTGTTCAAGGTCTTGGACACGTATCGGACTGCGTTCAAGGTCTCTGACACATATCGGACCGTGTTCAAGACAAAGGTCTTGGACACATATAAGACCGTGTTCAATGTCTTGGACACGTATCAGGCCGCGTTGAAGGTCCTAAACCCAAGTTCTTTTTACATAGAGACCGCAGACTTTCCTTGAAACATGAGTTCCACGTCTGTTTTAGCTGCCAACTAGACAACTTACAATCGGTAATACACTCGTTAAAGTGAAAGCTCGTGCACGTGAGGTGTCGAGACAGCCATGCGCGTGCACGGCACGAATATCAATATCATCATAAACGTACATGTATCTCCATGTAAATTGTCTATGTTTTGAATTATATGATGACCCTGTAAAGTTATCGTATCACATAGGGATGGTAGTACTTCAGGAGAAATAGATTTATGTTTCGGTACTGGCAAAATAACACTCTCCTAACAGTATTATAAATACTGTCTTAAAACAACGCCCATTTACATAAGCTCCTCATTTCTCTATTTGTGTAGCTCTGTATATATTTGAATCATATTGCTAACCTTTAGTTCGAGGCAAACGGTGATGGTTAGAGTCATTTTGAGTAAACAATTATCCTAATAAAACCTTGCTCTTTTTAAATTGATACCCACTATAACACTTATAGTTTATGTTATATATTAACCTATTGTTAAGGTTCCGAGTACCAGTAAAATTGCTTAACAGTGCTCAAACATTTTAATTTCTCAGTAAAACCCCGGATTTGTATGTTCGATAAAACATCGTTTGCAGTAACGTTTGACCGCTCTGTAAGCGTCAACAGTCACGTGACAATCCTGTATGTTTAACTGCTGCAGGTTCCGACATTGCTTGGCTATCGCCTTCACACCACTGTCCGTGACAGCATCACAGGATTTCAAACTTAGTTTCTTTAACTGACTACAGTTTTGAGCAAGCACAAGCAAACCTTCGTCCGTGACGTCACACTTCCCAATATCAAGGGACTTAATCCGAAAACAGTTTCTGGCAAGAACGTCCATGGCGTCGTCCGATACTGCTTCACATCCGCGCATGTTCAAATAACGTAACTTCCGGCAGTGTTTTGTCAAATGGATTATGCCTACATCTGACACTTTGTCACATTTTGCGACACTCAAATATCGTAAATCGTCCAGTTTGGCGAGTTCACACAATCCGAAGTCGGTCACTTTTTTACAGTCACTGATGCTGAGCTCACGAATTCCCGTACAGTAATGTGCAATAAACTGTAGACCATTGTCCCCGATTCGGACACATCGGCGCAGGTAAAGGAATTGCAGGTGCGAACAATGAAGGGAGACCGTTCGGAGCCCCTCGTCGTCTAGGGCGTAACAATCGGTCATGTCGAGATACCGGAGGTGGATCTGACGAAGATGATGCGCAGACGCCTGTCTAAGCATCTGGTCCGTTAGACTAATACTGGTGATGCATGGGCATCCTGTAAAACAAAACAAAATAGAATATCAGTAACATCCGGGGTATCAGTTACATCCGGGGAATTTAATGTTACGAGGTCAGCAAGTACCAGCGATGGTCGAGTCCGGTCAGGATCATACAATTCAAACATAAATCATCGTGTTCTACGTGTGTACATTATGTTCGTGTTTAGCATCGTCGTGTAATTTATTCATGAATTCAGAATCGAGCGTAAAATAATGACGATATTTTAAATATGTACACCTTCACCATGGTTCGTGTAGGCTACATAAAATATATCGTGAATGTCTACAATCACCTAACCCCTTTGAGAACATGAAATAATCACAAACATCTAAAAGGAACGTTCTATAGCATGTACATTTCACTTCGTAACCCTATACAGTTGTATAAAACGGGTGATTTCAACACGAGAAATGTGCATTTGAATGAAAAGGGTGTGGGGAAATGTAACTTAAATGTATTTTCGCTACACATGATGCATAAACGGATTTGGCCTTTGATCGAATGCAATTTCTACTCGGGGATTTTTCTCTGTGTAACTAAGTAAGTTTATGTTAATAGGATGAAGAAACTAGACCAGCTAGACTGGCCCCGTCTCTAGAATATTGAATTATCAAGAATAAACTCTAATGATTTTGATCATTTGGGTGTCTGAACTAAGGGGAGGGGGGATAATTAAGCTAGTAAAATGCAGTCGAAAATATTTTTACAAAAAAACTTAGGGGCTAGTAGCCAGTCGAACACAAACATGCAGAGTAAATGGTCTGTTGGGAGAGGGGTTGGGGTGAGGGGGTATATCAGTGTATGTCTGTATAAGTCTGTGGTATGTAGACATAGCAAGCGGTTATATTTCAGTTCAGTTCTGCAGAGTACCTCTTTTTTAAGAAACACTTTGCATACTGATGTCTCAATATACCCATTTACATTCAACCAAATTAAAAACAGCGCGTCCCAGAGGTTACTCAGCAATTTGTCTTCGTCTTCCATGGTATCAGGTTTGTACAAGCTAGGGATAATATCAATGGAATATTTTGTGTTTTATGGGAGCGGGGTCATAGCTACATACATGTCGCTTATGTCTTTGTCATCTCTATTTCCATATCAATCTGCACAGGCTGACAGGTAACGTGTTAATTTCTGCAGTCCGATTTAGTTACCTAATTTACATGCATTTAAGCTGGTAATCTGCGAGCAATGCTTCGATATCCGTTTCACAAAATGAAGTGTTTAGAAAATAGAAATTAGCAAGTCATGATCATTCAGAATATGTAACTTCGTTAACAAACATCACTATTACGTCAGAATTATCTCCCTTTAATTTTTATCCGAAGTTACCTCTCGCCCCTTCCATCATGAGATGTTAAATTAAAATCGCACGGTTCATTAAATATCTGTCAAAACGAACAATTAATATTATACCGAACATCTCACTTCGGTTGTCCTCAGACTAATTTCGCTATATTTTTTACTAAAGGAATTTCTTTTAAAATGTTCTATAATTTTGATCGAGACCTGAACATTACGGGCTGTGTGCGACTATCCAAGATATATTTGTGGTAAGCTGAAAAACAATTCATGACCGACATCTTTGAGAGATAATCTTAAGTCTATCAACATAACCCGTTTGAAATATAATTCAAACAATTGACCCTCAAATTCTTGTTCCGGTACCAAACGAACATACCGTATCACAAATTGATAATTAATATAAAGCCGTCTTCAATTAAGGCGAAAAGATCAGACTTCATTTCGGTATAACATATTGTTTCATGACATTTATTGGGAGAACTAAAAAACTCATGGAATAACGATCCACATATTAAAAAATAGACTACATTCGTGTAAAGCGCACCGAAAGCATTCCTATCTGTGGTCTGATGCAGTCTCGTTCAACCAGACGCTAGATCTCTGTTCGGCAAAGCTTGCGCAGACAACAAAAGTCTGGATGAACGAGACTATGGTCTGATGTAACATTTGTTTTGCTAGAGTTATTCCCCCATTTGTTTGATCCGGGGTTGTCTCCCGTCCTTTCAATCTTGAAATATCGAACTAAAATACTGTAGATTTAAAATAAATTATTCCGGTCGAGCCATACCAGTTTAAGAAATGCTGTCCTTGGAATTTGTTGTATTGATTAGTCGATCTGTTTTTACACTACAGTTATCAAGCAACGACACATAGTTACCCGAACGTTTTACAGATTTAGTATTTGATAACATTGAGTTGGTATGTGGACAGCATAATTATATTTTCACAAAAGAAGACAGCGCTCGGATTCTTTAGATAAAAATATCCATAATTTCTTCCGATATCACTTGTGAGTCTTAAAATCAAAGCTGACATACTGTCAATTCTCTGAAATTGTAGGCTCGTCAATATAGAATTACTTTTAGAGTTATTTGACCAACAATGGTCTCCCTCTTTATTCAAAAAAATGTAATATGAGGTAAAGAAAGTGTTGACATAATCAGTTGAAGTTGGAGATTAAGTCATTTTTCTCAGAATATATTTAGCAGAATTCATAACAATGCACTCGACTGACGCTGGGTATTTTAATATTTTAATGAGTGGGTTTGACAACTACCGATAAGTGCCCGATATGGATTACCTTAGAATTATTACAACCCTTGACAAAGGACGAAGTATGAGAATGGCGGTCGGCCATAGTGGTTCTGTCATTGGACAATGAATACAATCTGTAGCAATTATCTGTTTTCATTGTAAGCTATATTAGTGTCGAGTGTATTTAGTATTTATTCTCAGCGGTGAAATTGCATACACATTACTTTTTGTGTTTAGTAGGTGCGTTCGATACCTGTCGCGTTGTGTAGCATTAGGTGCGTTCGATATTTTACATTAAAAAGCGTCCCGCCTAAGTACTATCGGTATCTATATTGGTGTAGGTTTTGCCGGTACTTTAGCCTAGAAAACGGATACGATTGTGTTACTTGTAGTTGTATGTAGATAATGTAATCTTGTTCAACTCTAAACGAATTATCATCGTACAACTGTACGTTTTTTTTGCATATAGAATATCCCTGGTGTTTTTAATAACTGTCATTAGGAAAACCCTTCCTTCCCTATCATGGTCGCCTCAACGGTTTACACGTAGTATGTACATCGCCTTAGACCACCGCCTACATCGGCACACATGTTTTCAAACGATTTTAAATCAAATAGGACAATTTCAAGAGCACCTGACAGTCAATGTTGTTTCGGAACATGTCATTCACGGATTGTTGGTAAGAGTTCACCGCTTAAATCGAGCTGTCGATGATTGAAGCTAAGCCTGCTTACTTCACTAAGTAACAGGTTATAATAACTCTCCCCACTTTCCCCGTGGTAAGCACACAGCGCCATTGTTGTGTTCACGGCGTCTTACTCAACTTACTTTTCTTTTTGTATAACACATACATTGTCGACTGTTGACATTCTACGGGCACTATTTACATTTGAGTCGATAAACAAACACTGGCGGGAAAACATGTCGTCTGCTTCTTTCAAATCGAACCTACCATTATTATCTCCTAAAATAGTTGTCGACGGCTTCTATCATAACTAACCCACTATTACGTTCCGTATACAATTGTCGATGACAAACTTTGTCCACAAGGAAACCCCGGGTCGTAAATTGATTAACTTCAACATGTTTTATTTGACCTTAGATTGTTAACACAGGTGGTGTAAATGAAATATGATATTCAGCATCGGACGTAATAGGATAAAAGGTCGAGACGAGTAGAATTACTACAAGGCCACTATCAATCAAAGCACTGGTCCCAAAAAGTAGTGTCGTCCAAAAACTAAGAGAAATCTACATTATTCCAGGATCTATACTGGTTATCAACAATACAACTATGTAAGTATTGTCTACTGAACAGGGATGTCTTTGGTTTTTTTGGCGGTGTCGGGAAAGTCCGTCTAGTTCTCGGGTTTTGACAGCTAGATCATGCTGTACTACAATGATATGACGTCACACCCTGACGCATATCTGTGAACACTGCATTTCAATGCTAACTCGTCAAAATAGAAGGCAACGGAATGAACAGAGAAATATGTGGAAAATATTCTTCAGTATCAAGAACTTGGCAGACCAAAATCCTACCCTTCCTGTCTACCCAACATTCTGTTATCCTTGAATACCTGAAATTCAAGTCCATTATCCAGATAAGAAATACAACTAACCTGTCACGTCAAGATGCTCAAGGTTGACACAATATGACGTCACTTCGAAGAGAGCCTCGTTCGAGATATTGGAACATCCTTGAAGCTCAAGTCTGCGCAGTTCGGAACACCTCTTGGCGATCGTGTGAAGTCCTGAATCAGAGAGTCTTTCGCATCCGTTCACAGAGATGCTTTCTACGAGAACACAAACGGAAGGAGTGTTAAAACTAAGCCTCTTTGTGAGGTATTTCAATGCCTTATCTACATTGATTCGTTCATTACGAATGACGATATGTTTCCATAGTAACGGGTCCCACACAAGGTTGTACCACCGACCACACACGCGAGAACTCTTGCAAAGCTGGTCGGATGGCAAATTTGAAAATATTTTCACAATTACTTCATCGGTGATTAAGTCGAACATGGACAATCTCGGAGTCCTGTACTTCGTTCCTTTTGATGTTATGATTTTGTCGTTTTCCTGCAGCTCGATGCGTTTGATATTGCTTTGTATTTCCTCCATATGCTTATCGAGCTGGTACTCATACGCGGGATTCTTGTAGCTGATCTTTGGTGGTACGGGCGTGTGCTGGGTCACGTGGGATGAAGACGACTTATGAGACGAGACATGGGACGCTGTTGAATGAGTGTTGACTGATGAAACTGACCGGTTTGACATTGGTGATGGCGTGGACATCCTGTAGTGCATGTTGAGGTCCTGTGGGTGGTAATGCTGAGGATTCCTGTGGGAGGGCTGACCATTAGAAGGCCAGGGAGGAGGTTTATTTCCTTTCTCTCGATCTCGTTCCCTGTCTCGTTCTCGCTCTGTTGACTTTTTGTCCTGTGCGGATGTGTCTGGAGCACCCTTAAATGTGGTCATACTAGACCCATGGGAGTTGTAGGAGGGGACATCAGAGGCGAACCCTGATGAGGAGTCATGGAGGGAGTCAGCTTTCTGGCTGTTGTCTGAAAACAAAAATAAAATAGTTAAATACCTTTCAATATTAGAATACACCAATTGGTACAGAAATTAGATAAACGTCACATCGTGTGAATTACATCATCTGTCTGTAAAGGAATAAAACGACGGGAACATTTTAGCGGTCACTATAAATGGATATGACGTCATTTAATCAAATACACTATAAGAATCCCAAAGGTCTTTATTTTACCTCACAAAACCGGAATTATGCAAGGGAGGTCACTCTGTTCTGATTTTCTCGAGGTGTAGACTATTTTTTCCTATCAAGTGCGTCATACCCAGGACAAAGAACATATTTTATTACTACAGCGTTAAGGGGGAGCCGTGTCACAGAGCCTCTCAGCTTTATCACATTTTAAGTGTGCTATGAAAACTCTAACAAAAGATTTTCTATCGGGTAGCAGTTATGCACCAGGTACCGCTATACAAACTAAATTGGAAACGGGACACATAATCAACAGCATCCCTAGCACAGACGTTTCCCAGTTAAGAAATATCAGATTAACTTAGAACGATGCTCATAATTACATTTACATGCATTCTTCGTGATAAAGGGATTTTTCCCCTCAAGTAATCTCGGTAACCCCTGTGTGAGTCAGGCGACGGCGGCTAGATAGCTCAGTGCTATATAGATGGGTCCAGTAACACATTTCTTCCATTGTGAATAGAATAAAGTTCTGTTTGATGTGAGAGTACGTTCAAGCCACCACTAGATGTACCGATCTCCTCGGTGTTTACTGCCAGTCCCTGAGAGTTTTTAATATAATTATCTCACATTTTGTTAAAATTTCAGTACAATCAGAATCACGACTTTGTAAGCAGAAATGATTTCCTTCAAATTATCTAACCTTTTGTATAAACAAACAACCGGTGTAATAAAACGAGAGTTTCTACTGAAACTTGACAACCATTTCCAACACTGAGTCAGACAGCCTAGTGGGTATCACGCGGGACCTCTTGTGGCGTGTAACACCGAAACACAGCAACGCTCAAGAGAGAACCCTGTCTTCTGCCAAGGAGAAAATTAATTTGCCTGCTTGAATTGTTCACATGTTACCGCGACAAAGTTTGTTCGTCTACAAATTAAATAGTGAGAATAAAGTTGGAGTATTTCATATAGTTGTATATCAGATAAGAAAGCCAGCGAACTATTAAAGCTGAAGCAGGTTATTTGACTTGCTGTACGCTAAATTACACGCGCAAGCTACCTGCCTCGACCCCGGTGAATATTATGTTACAAACACAGTGCTCGAAAATGAATGTTATAACGGTAAAACCACTAGATGTATTTGTTGGGGGGTTGTAGATCAGCAAATCTGCAGTACCTGTATTTCAGGGAGTTTGAATGGTGTCAATTACGGATCGTTCAAAAGATGTGACATGGACAGAACTAAAACGAGTACCAAGTATCAAGCCAAACCATATTTTCATTTTTTTTCTTACGACACGCCAGAGGTGGTAACTGTTTATCAAACAGTTATAATTACCGCACGTTGTAACCCAGTAAGACATATTCACACACACAAAAAAAGTACAAATTGCTGGTTTAGTCTGTGGCCAGCCCTCCTCAGCGCCTCAGCGCAAAGATAGAATTCAATTTTAAAATACTGCGATTCGAACCTGTAATTAAAGTAATATGTTCCTTTGAATGAAATCGCGTTAACTGGTTTAGATTTCAGAGTGGTACCATTATTTGAAATATACCACATGAAATTGACAACCACGAAACGAGATATCTTATTTCCCTATATAGACATATTTCCCAGTGTATACCTTTCGCCTTTCTCAACAGAATCCATGGCTATATTTACCAGACGCCATTCAGAGGGACAGTTTACAATGGCGACAAACACGTATATATACAGTTCATGTTATTTCAGGACAGACACTTGAAATTAGTTTTATTTAGATTTAACTCAACAGGTTTTATAAAAGTGACCAATTGACCTTCAAAATATCTTATTTAATTATTTGCCTATGGAAAACAGTATCAGAGCCTAACAGGAATAGTATACATAGCGGATTTCTGGGCTTCATGCATCCAGACCCTCTACCCTCAACTCGCGACCCTCGACTCTCGGCTCTCGACCCTCAAATCTCTACCCTCGACTCTCGGCTCTAGACCCTCCTCCCTCTCCAGCCTGGGATTTTCTTTAAAACCCGTTTATTTTCTCACTGTGTTGCTCCCACTCCCAACCTTCCTCCAGGGAATTCGTTTAAACAATATTATATTTCCACCATTTATACATTAAATATTTTGCAATTATAGTAAAATGGAATGGGAAAACAGGCTAGGAGCAAATACATGAACAATTCCTTCATGGACTTTGAAAACAAATATATCAATGTGATATTTCATCGATTCAAAAAGATGTTTGGATCCAACTTTTGATAAAGATGACAAGATGTCTTCAACCAATTTAATATACTGGTGAACAAGTGTCGGTGTTACAATAGCTATTGGTCTTAAAGCTTCAGCGGAAACGTAATAAAAACGTTTCAGTGACCCGCAAACCATTGGATCACTAATGGACCAAAGAATTCTAACGACGCTTGTCGCTCGATACATCAGCGCGTTCGATACAAACGCTCCACATGACATTCCTAACACAGGTGTCGTCAAGCAGCTGAGACACAGATACAGGTATGTTACAACACAGATACCAGGTATGTAACTAACAGGTAATCGATATACAATGTTAGACCACAGATAACGGCCAGGTACAGACGATCGGCGGACGGCAGAGTAACGGCCAGCTAACGGGATGACCTGGACTTAATTATATTGATTACCACTCTACAAAACCCGGGTGAACGTGGACGATAGCAATAACATTATAAATTATACATCGTATAGAGATAGCCATTCTACATATCCGACAAATAAAGAAGTGCTGTCGCACTAGCGCTTGTATCCGCAAGGGATGACAGATTTTAGAAACATATAATCAATGGAAAGGCGTTTATTAACCCCAGAATTAGATTAGATCCGAATCCGGTAATGACAATTGTCACCGTCCGTAATCAGATCGTGACCTGGTTTAAACAGTGTTGGAAATCAAAAGGATGTGATTTTTTTGTAAAACAAGACTTCCAAATGGTGAAATTATAACGCACGATAGTCAACGAACACTTTCACATTTTCTTTGAAAATGTCAGCATATTCATGACACGTTTTCCGAATTCATCTAACATGTATTTATACCGATATATATACAGAAACGGAAGTCTGATTATTGCAGCCAGTCAGGCGTTTCCGGAATTATTGCAGCCAGTCAGGCGTTTCCGGAATTAGAACGGCCGATTTGAGTGACAGTGTATTGATGAAACGATAACCAATACATAAGTATGACGTTTCTTACAAACCTTGTGTATTGATTACCTCTTAACGTATCTGTGAATGTTTAATTTTGACCCAGGAGTCTTTTGAACTGAGAAAATATATCCATTGGTAAAAATGAGGCCAACTTATTAAGAGTGTGACCTTTATTTTATTGCCGTCGATTAAGTGGCATTCATATACGGGAACTATGTGTAATCGTTGTCGAGGTTCGGAGCAAGGTCGATGTATTTTGAGTAAATGAGTATCTACCGTTATCTAAATATTTTTAAGTTAGTTAGTGTCAAATAAAAGTTTTTTTCTTTATTTACCCTTTTAAGATTGTGGGCCAGATACCGTAATACTAGCTGAATGTATGAGTAACGTCGAGTAGCCCGCAGTCTATTACTTCCCTGGAATAAACATCGACAAAGAAATTAACACTGTGCACGTACAAGTAATGACACGTAATGAGTCAAGTCAAGTCTGTTTCACCTTCATACATGTACAATGTCCGATAGATGGCGTGCACGTGGCTTTGGCGTCAGTGCCATGATGTATGGGAAACAAACAGCTGTATTTCCCGTTTACATGCCATAAACGACGAAACAGTGCAGTTCATTAAGCCACATGATTACCAAACGACATTTTGAGTAACATTAATATGATTTGCACATGTATGTCTGTAAGAAACAAATATATTTTGTTTTATATCGATAACGTGCCTAACGGAGAGAACTACGAGTTAATATATGTAACTTGTCCAATCTCTCGATGCGTTATTATAATAAACAGATAAACTGGGCGCCGGTCAATACACATATTAGCGGGGTTAATAAAACTGGCGGCCAAACACGAAAACATGCCAGGCACCTGACAGCGTTTGATGAATAACCGACAATAAAGACTGACCAAGGTCCGAAGTCAATATTTGTAGACTTATTACCCCAATATAAATCACATCACAATACATAGGTCATATAAACGGAGGTTGTTCTCCTGATAAAGTCACTACAAAGAAACAGAATCGCAGGTGAACTCCTACAGACAAAGTAAAATCGAAATATTTTTATTAAATAAATCATCGACATCAAATGGAAGATAACCCCTCTGATGTTAATGTTCGTATGTTGAATACAGGCTTAGAATGACAACTCCATTACTTCCTAACAGGTTGGTCAATATTTTGGTCAGTGACACGGCTTGAAGTACTTGTGTCACTAGTCCGTCACTGACACTGGTCAGTATGAGGGGTCAATATTTGGTGGGTGACTAATGACGCTCGGTGTATGACATATGTTGTTTATTTCGGTCAAATTATCCAAACCATGACGATAAACATTTTGACCAACAATAGAATACCCCCCCTCTCTCTCTCTCTCTCTCTCTCACTCAACATGATGTTAATAATGGCGGTTTTGTTTACTGTAACAATAGATTTGTTGTCGCCACTGTTCTGTCGGAAATATTTCAACCTATCCCACTACCGTCCTCAAACGCACTGCCATAATTCGTGTATATTTGTTAAATCATAATTTCAATGTTCCTTCCAATTTAAACGGCACCTCCACTAAAACTCGACAAAACATGAAATCAACATGTGTGTCGACAGAAATGAAATGTCTATTTTACATGTATTGACCCCAGGACATAGTTATAGTACAT